CTCTTCGAATATTTTTCATAAACACCTAGAAGTATCATACATGGAAAATATCTGAAATAAACACATGGGATTTCATGTCATTTCTCCAAGAGGCCAGAGAAGATGTATGATGGCAGAGACACCATAAAGATTGTGTAAAGTGATTTGTGCCTAGGTGTGCTGCTTATAAGTTCCTCTCTTGGTAGTCTGTCCATTTTTGTATTTAAGAGCTAATTCTACTTCAAGTGTTTTCAAATGAGTCTGCTGCTATTACTATTAACCGTTGTCAACCACTGCCATCTTACATTGTCCAAATCTCAATACCAATGGCTGCAATAGGTTTGCAGTCGGTCTGTCAAGCTCAAAGTAGTTAGGGTTTGGTATGTCTCTGGGTTTCCAGATTCCCTTGTAAAATGGGTTACCTATGGGAGGTAAGCTCCATTTTCCCTTGTAAGCAGGGTTCCTCTATATTGGTCGCTTCCATTCGCCACATCTAGGTGCTGCCTCACACTTGGGGTTGGAAACCATGGGTGCCTCCCACTCACCATCTTCCTCATCATCCCAATCTTTATACTTGCTTGCTTCAGGGTCTTCGACCTCTTCAGACTCATCATTTGATTTTCGGAATTTGGAATTTATCACGATTTGGAGATTACGTTTTAGCCAAACGACGTCACTTTTCACTAATAGAGATGGATTAATGATGTATTAGCTGCTCTGTTAACAGAATTAAGGATATTATGTTTATTTTGGTTCGGTTAACGAAAGATGATGTTATTAAAATTAAGTTAACGAGAAATTCATAACGGTATAGAAAATTCGTACTATAAATAACAGAAAATTTGAAAGTTCGTTAACTAAATGACATTTTCCTCTTTTCTCTTTTGAGATTATAGAGTTCCAAATTGTGTGTGTTTAGTTGAAAAAACATGTAAAGTTGAAACAGACAAGTTGATTCTTACTTTTCCACAGGTACGACCTTAAAACCAACTCTTTTCCGTAAAAATAAAATCTAACCCCAAACCCAAAAACAAAGGGCACCAACACGTAATATATGCGAAACAGTGAGGTCAAATTAGACAAAACACCATAATCATCTCTTCCCTCTTGTGTTCCTCCTCCTCTGTTTTTATATTTCTTTCACCTCTGCACTAATCCCCTGAGCTCTCTCTCTCTCTCCCTATCTCGAGATCCGCCGTTTTAACTCTGTTATTTTTTCTTTTGAATTAGTTCCTCCCAAACTCAGAGCTTCTTCTCTTTTTGTTCAGTCATTACAGATTGGATCAGAGAGGGAAACAAGAGAGCTGTTTCTCTTATCCAGATCTAGTTTCTGTCTATCTCTCAGTTTGGTTTTAAACCAAGGTAATAATGTTCGTTGGAATTATCGAATAATTCTTGTAGATCTATCTGTTTTGTTGATTCAATTGATCATTCCGATCTGATTTCGACGTTTTGTGATTGATCGTGTATTTTTTTTTGGGCTTGATTTGGATTTAGTTTACTCCATTATAGTGCAGATCGATACGAATGTACGTTTTTGTGATTTATTATAAGATAGATTTTTTTTTGTAGCCTTTTGAATCGATGCATGTAATTGTAGCTCGAT